TTAGTTGCTATAAGTCTCAATTATGAGATTTCATTTTGGGAGTTGGATGTCAGGATATCTACATACAACAACCAAAAGGGTTTATAGCAAATGAGTAGGAACACACGATATGCAAGTTGTGAAAGTCTATTTCATAGACTTAAGCAAGCATCCAGGTCTTGAAACATCAGTTTTGATCAGGTTATCAAAATTTTGATTTTGAGAGAACCTTGATGAATGATGTGTATTTGTATGTAAAGGATACAACGGAAGACAATATTTTTTCTGGTACTTTATGTAGATGATATGCTCCTTATTGGAAACAATGTGGAGGTAATATCAAGCATAAAGAGTTGGCTAAGTTAGTTTTTGGTATGGAAGTACTGGGGAAGCCAATTATATTCTTGGGATAAAACTCTTATGAGGCCAGAAGAATAAGTTGTTGGCATCACCTCAGGCTACTTACATTGACAAAACTCTTGCCAAAATTCAACATGAGAATTCTAAGAGAAGAATTATAAATTCTTAGATGTGGAATTCATCTTCCTAAGGAGTAACCAAAGACTCCTGAGAAGGAAGAATGCATGAGCATGATATCTTATGCTTTGGCAAAAGTAGATTCATGCATATCATGTTGGGCGTTAAACCAGACATTTGTCACGTAGTGGGAGTAGTGAGATAGTACCATTTTGAACCTAGAGGAATACTAGATTATTGTTAAGCATGTACTCAAGTATCTTTGGAGAACGAGAGATTATATGCTGGTATATTCTAATGGGAGTCTTGAAAAGCTGAGTTTTCAAAAATTCAGTTATTTCAAGTGGATATTGACTCAAGAAAATCAACCTCGAGCTATGAGTTTTTCACTAAACTCAAATAGCATTAGAGGTGAATCTTGCAGACCCAGTTACTAAGAGTTTGCCTGAACTTGTGTTCGAGAGGCATGTTACTTCTTTGGGTCTTAGGAGGATCCCAGACTTGCATTAAGCAAGTGAGAGTTATTGGTTTCATTGTGCTCTTGGAGTAAGACGATGAAACAATAAAATAATTTTCCGAATTTCATAAATAAGGTTTTATTTATTTATTTTGCGCACTATTTACAAACATAAAGGTCCGGATCAAATTGTGGAGTATATGATCATATGGTTACGTTCATGGAGGACATGATCATAGGTTCTCACAATTGATGAATGGAGTCACAACCGTTAAATAAAGTTGGGCACTTTATTCAGGCTGCAATATTTTATGAAATGATTTTGTCCGAATCATTGTAAAATATTGGTGTGAATTAACATTTACATTGAAAGGATGAAGGAGAGATTTGATTAAGGTTGTTTTTCTGTCATAAGGTATCAAATCTCCAGTTAACTATAGTTATGTGATTGCTCTTAATCCTGAGTTTATTATAAATAGGTAATCAAATAGTTTTTATTCTTTGATTTACCAACGGGTGAGGTTCGATCTATTGACGACCAATAACTCGGTATTTTGGGAGTGAGATTATTTGATTATCGTTATTTATGAGATAAACAACATGGAATTTGTAGGATATGTCCCCTTGATATGTTTTGGTACTTGGATATTAAAGACACTGGCCAGTGCATGTAATCCATTAGAGAAACTATCATAGTCAAGGGAATAAATAATTGATTAAGTTACAGAAAACTTGTCAATCAATTATAGACATTCTACAAAGGGGCGATGCATATTAATGTTATAAAGGTCATTAATCTTGGAGTTCACGTTCGGGCTTTTAGTGGAGTAGCACCGAATTAGATAATCTTGTAAAGATTATCAGGAGCCTTGATCAATGACAAATGGTAGGTCCCCAGGCTAGCTCGAGACAAGGGATGGGGTATATTATCAGATGATGATAGCTTATGGGCTACATGGTCTTGGGTTTACGAACTCAAGTTTGTATCTTAAAGAGCAAGTGGGAGATTGTTGGATATATGCTCTTTTGGTCACTAAAGTCCTATTGGGCTTCAGTGAAACTTGAGCCCATGAGGCTTAGGGTTGAGTTATGTCTAAGACCTAAGCGTATATATTCAGAGTTTTCTCCTCTTGTGCCTCCAAGGTGAACAGATCATCAGAAACAAACAAACCCCAAGAGGCAGACGTCCATCATCTGAACGGTTGCCCACACAACCATCTCATCCTCCTCGAGAGATAGTTTGGAAGATCTTCCACAGTCCAGCTTCAAGGAGGTTGTTCGTGCTGCGGCGCTGAGGTGAGCTGTTCGTGAGGAGGAATCCTACAAGGGAAGATTCTACACGAGACCTGCGCACCGAGAGGTAATTGTGAAACAAGGATGATTCGGTAAGCATACCAATGTACTAGGTCCTAAACCGCTTCCGCATAAATCTAAGATTTCCTACAAGGCCATCACTTCCCTGGCGTCTGCAATTAGTTAACGATGTTCACTTGACAGCATGTCAATTAGATTAAGATAGAAAAACATTTGTTACTTTAAATAACATAATTTTATATATTTTAAATGAAACGATTATATTTTGATATATATTTAATTGTTTTTATATTTTCTCTCCTGCATAAAATAAGGAGAAAAGAGAAAGAGAAAGTATTATAAAAAAAAGAAGCTAAAAAATACTAAAACACAATTGTTTAACTTAGAATGATACAAAGTTATGTGATTTAAAATGATAAATATTTTTGCTCTCAAATCAAATAATTAATTAAAAAGATAAATTACAATTACAAACTTTGCAACAACCCATATAATATATTTCATTTAAAATATGTTGTAATGTTTAATATATATATATATATATATATATATATATATATATAATTTATTTTTTAAGTGAAGATAAAAAGCTAAAAAATTAATGAATATTCTGTATGAGTTTTATTATACATGCATCAGACATAACCAATGATTTTTTAAAATATAAAATGAATTTTTTTAGGGTAAGTAAAAAATGGTCATGTTAGACATGAGTAAAGATCTGTGCTTAATCAAGGATATGTGGCAAATTATTTTAGGAAATATTTAGAAGCTATCATTTAGATTGTAGCCTAATTGTTTTATTTAAAGATCGAGAGTGTTTAAAATTTTTAAAATTGAGTGAATTCAATCAAAATTGAAAAAATTGAGATAGAAAATTAAAAATCTGATAAACCAAAAAATTGAGAAATGATAAACTGAAAAAATTAATTGGATCCGATTGGGCTTCGCATCTAAATTTGAAAATCGACCCAATCCAATAATTTTTTAAATATATGATCTTATCAAAATACAAAATACATCGAACATGAGTCTAAACTAATTCATCAAGATATATTAAATGCAAGTTAAAAAATTCATTAAAATACAATTTCAATATATAATTCTAAATTCCTTGTCCATCACACAACATATGTCCTTGAATATATATTTCAAGCAATTATTGAACCCTCATGGTCTAATATATTACAAAATATTTTTTCTTGTTGATGTTAGGTAAATGCTTATGCTTGATCCCTTACATCCTTATATATTATTAACCAAAATATAATATATTTTTATGCTAATATAAGTAAAATATTATAAAAAAAGATAAATACTATTTTTTTTCGTGCCTTAGAAGATGATTATATGCACCTTAAACAATATACGACTCTGTCATTTCACATAGTTTTAGTTAAAAGATAACGTAGTTAAAAAAAGTAAAATCAAATACTTTTATATAAACTGAGCAACGAGCAAGATCACAAATATGTTTAGCTCGATTTCTAGCCCTTAAACTATGGGTTGGGTTTGGCCCATTGTAGTTCAACTTGTTCCTTTTATGCTTTAGCCCACCCAATGGTACAGTGAACCAGCTAATCTCCATGGATTTGGGAAGCTCAAACAATGTCCATATTCCATTATTTAATTTTGCTTGTTTCAAAAGCGTGCTAGCTTAGGCCCCCTATCAAATTATGGTAAACAACTTTTCATAACATGGTTACAAAACAATATAAGTAACCCGAAAAAGAAAGAAAGATAAAACTACTAGTTATGAACACATTAATTAACATTTAAGTATGTAATGTGATAGTAGACTAGTATATAAAAAATAGTTTATCCTTTCTCCACCAACATAATATAAAATTATCTAATTCAATTTCAAAACTATGTCATTTTGGGGATTAAAGAAATTAATGAAGAATATTTTGATAAAATTCATATAATAATAAACAAATCAAATTACTTGCAAGGTGTGGCTCAGTTGGTTTGGTGCTGAGTCCTAGGGGTTTGGGCTGTGAGTCTAAAGGGCTTGAGTTCGAACCCTGGTAAACACATTTTGTGGGTAGCGGAGAATCCCTTGCCCTCTCAATCCGCGATAGGGGATTAGTCTCATCCTATGTGCGGTGAGGATACCCTTGGGTTTACTCAAAAAAAATAAACAAATCAAATTTCCTAAAATACTCTTGATTAATTTTCCAACCCTGTAAATTTGAAATTGATAAAGATAACTTTATGGCATGTTAATCGAGAAATGTCATAAAAAATAGGGAGATATATTAAGATTCACTTATTTTTATATGAGTGCCACAGAAAAAAATTATGTATTAGAAACAAAATATTAATCCTAAAACATATGATAAAACTAAAAGAAAAATATTTGTCATTGAAACTATTATATTTTGGTAATTTTTTATATATTGTATTTTCCTTAATATTTTTCCCTAAAACTAATTATCATCTAATGATGAAGATCATATATATGAATCTCCCCATTTGACGCATGTGAGCTAAGCAGTTGGGGTGAGAGCATCTGTTCGAAATTCTTCGGTATCACCTTTAGAAGGAGTTTAAAGCCTTAATTCTGAACCCGTCCCGAATCGAATTAGGTGTGAAGCAATGAACAGATCGGAATATTTAAAAAAATAAATAAAGATGATAACCATACGAAGCAATAAAAAAAAGAAGGAAAATTACGTTTGCGTAATGTAGGCTTGCATTTTGGAGGGGTAATGATCCGGTGGTTGAAGGCACGAGTTACGTATTGTACACCCAACCCCGAGAAAGAAGCGGTTCTTTGGTTTTGTTTCTCGCGCGATTCAGCATATGCGAGCAGAGAAAGCAGTGCAGTGTCGTCGATTCGGAAGCTATCAACCAGAAATCGAAAGCGACGTCGTTAGGTGATGGAAGCTCAAGTGTTCGATCTCTGAATCCTTTGGGGATACGAATCTAACTAACTCGTTGTTCCTGCAATGGCGTCGTGGCTCAAAGCCGCTGAAGGTAACGGATCTCGCTACCTAGATTCCTATATTCTCCCTAATTCCTTCACAATCCAACAATTTCGTCCTTGATTCGATTCGAGAATGGTTTTAGCACTGATTTTTCAGAGCTCAGAGAGTTTCGGTTTTAGTTGGCATGGCATCTTGTTATTTTTTTTTTATCTCAATCTTCGATTCCTCGCTGAACCTTCAATAGATGGTTAATGCTGATATGATCATGTATTAAGATATGTTCTTCAAATGATGTTGCCACGTTTAGTTATTTTTTTTTTAATATCTATTTTTTGGAATTGAACTATAATGCTGATGTATTGGGAATTAAGAAATGAATCGGTGAATATTACTGTTTTTGTTATCAATATAACACCTGTACATGCTTTTTCCATTTCTAGTCTAAGGAGTGTAAATTAAGTTTAAATGTAAATATAATTACGATGCAATTGGTCATGATGCATTTTCATTTGATGATGATTCAGTGTTGGAGTAGAAGTTTATTTCTCCTACTCCTATTTCTGTGTTTCTGTACGAATCTCTCATTTTGAGCACAAATATGAAGTGTGCTTGTTTTTTTGGCTTTGATTGATCAGATTTATTTGAAGTTGTGGATCGAAGAGCGAAGCTGGTTGCCACTGACTTATCAGAGGAACAGTCTGACTCTAAGTCTCCAGGTTTAGATTTTAGTTCTTTTGGCTTCTCCCCGCCACCCCTTTTTTATTTAGCAATCAATTCATACTGAATAGTGAATACTTATATGTGGAATTATGCCTGGTTTTATTGCTGTAAAGCTATGCTGCCAATTTAATAGAAAGATCAAACTTTTAAACAACTGGTGATTAATGGTTTAATATTGATAGTCCTTAAACCGAAATTTCCATTTCTTTTTTCCTTTCTCTTATCTTTTGCTTGATATAAATGAATATTGAAAATCATCTTGGGTTAAACGATTAAAACAAGCTTTTGTTAAGTCAAGAGAAGCATGGTTTGATTCTGCAACTCTGAAGTTGTAAGAGATAAAATTGTGTTGTTTCGTGGAATTGGCCATCTCTTGGAGGAAAGTGATCTTGATGGCAAGTTCTTTTAAACTACAGCTAAACTATAAACCTTTTAACATTTTTGTGTGCTGGATGTTACATATCAGGCATTATGTTGTAACCAGGCTAATCTATAAACCCAAAGCAAATGAATCAGGCGTAATGTCTTTCAGACATAAGTATTAAGTTGTATATATTCTCCTAATATCACAGGTTCTTACAGTTGTTTTTTTGTTACCTTTCTGAACATTAGCTTCTAATGGGCAAGGATCTCAAGGCAAGAGGACAAAATCAAAACCCAAGGTATTGCCACTGCATTTCTATTCACAGATAATGTTCGTGTAATATTCACATCGAACTTGAGTTCTTGAGTTTTTTGCAGGCTCAAAAGAGACTATCCAACCAATCAAATATAATTAGTGATGCTACAAAGGAGAAAATTGGAACTCCAGCAGCATTGGTGGATGTAACAATTCCAACAGACAAAGTTGATGTCATATCTGAAAATGATGGGAGTGCTCCCATATCTACAAACCATCCAAAGAAGGAGCAGCAACCTACTGATGCAACATCACCCTTGTTAGGCACTTCGTTATCAAATATGCTAGTCGATGATGTTGGTAAACATGACATAGATGATGCTGAAGTCTTAGTAACTGATACTGATGTTGAAGTTGCCACTGTTTCTGCAAATGGTGAGCCTGCCAAAGAGAATGCTTCAGGTATTCATGAGGTGGATCCTCCTCCAGTTCCCGAAGGAATCGAAGGCCTCAGTGATGAATCCACTAATACTGGTCAAATTATCAAGTCTGGAGATTTAGATGCCAATCAAATTATGGATCAAGAGAAATCTGAATCTGTGGCTACGGACATTGTTCCTAACGGGGATGCTATACTTAAAGATTCTGATGTAAAAGTTGAATCTATTGTGACTAGAAAGAGCCAAGAGGATCACAAAACTGACATCTCCCCAAAGAAAGTAGAGGATCAACTTGATGAGGTAACAGTTATTATGGAGAAGTTTGTTCATTATTACTTAGCATGCACATCTTTTTTAAAAATTTCTTCTGACTAATTTTTTAGTCGGTACACAGGCTCAAGGATTGCTTAAAACAACAAAATCTACTGGTCAGTCTAAAGAGGCAAGGTTAGCTCGGGTAAGTATGTTATTTAAAGTTTAAACCAACATTTCTGTTGGCTAAGGCCTCCTTAAATGAGAGAAGCCTGATCACAGAGGCAGATCCTATAGATTAGTTCTGGAATCACAAAGGAGTTCCTTCCTAATTGCTAATTATATATGCCTGATTGTTTTATTTCTAATGATTCTCAGGTCTGTGCTGGACTTTCATCCCGCCTTCAAGAATACAAATCTGAAAATGCACAGTTAGAGGAACTTCTCACTGCAGAGGTGTTGTGCTATACTGCTTCCTGTTTAAAGGACTAGAAGACCTTATGATATGCTTGAAACAGAAACAATTTTCATTGTTGTATTGCTAAATTAATTCTAAATTTACAGAGAGAACTTATTAAATCATATGAAGCTAGCATAAAAAAGCTACAGAAGGATTTGTCTGAAAGTAAAAGGGAAGTAACAAGAGTTGAATCAAATATGGTTGAGGCCTTGGCAGCAAAAAATACTGAAATTGAGTCACTTCTAAGTTCTATGGATGCAGTTAAGAAGCAGGCTGCATTGTCAGAAGGAAATCTAGCTTCCCTCCAGGTTCTTCTTAGTGAATTTATTAAAGTGTCTTCTTGCATATTTTGTTTGCTCCCGTGCAACTGCTGTTTCCACCCGGACTATATTCTTTACCATTTGCTTTGGGCTTGTAAAGGCTTTTTCTTTCTTTGATCTTGAGTATTGGCATCTTACATTTTTATTCACAATCTTGGCTAATGGACATATTGCTTGAAGTTTGAATAGTCCCTTTCTTCAAGTTGGTCTATGAATATTAATTTGACTTGTATACTTTTATTGGCTTTCTAGGAATTTTTGGTTTATGAATGATATAGGTTGCTAGAAATGCATATTCACCTATCCAATTTGTTTCCAGAAACCACAAGAAAACTACCACTAATTTCTTCCAGAATGTAATATGGCCTGCTCATTGCCCATTTTATAGCTATAAGCTCCATATATTATTTTGCATGTGTGTGTGTGTGTGATTGCAGTGTCTGTTAGAATTTACTCATCTAGTTGATATCAGGAGTCTTTTAACTCTATGAATCAAAAAAAGGCTTTGGCTATTATGGACATGTTTGACCGAGTAACATAGTGATCTACTTATTTCACTTTCCTTCATTGATTTCTTTCCATATGTTAGAATATAATATAAAACCATTCATATGCTTTCACCTAAAAACTTAAGCTCTTCGTAGAGTTTTGGTTCATGATATGGTATCCGAGCAATACAATCCATGATAAACTTGAATATTACTTAAAGTCTTAAACCCTAAAAGCACGAGATGTATCCCAAAACAATGAAGAGAAAAACTAATCCATTATCCATTAGCCTAATGACGTTCACCATGGATATGTTTGGCGAGTTGAATGTCCTTGGGCATGATGGCCACCCTTTTGGCATGGATAACACAAAAGTTGGTGTCCTTGAACAAACCTACCAAATATGCTTCCGCATCTTCCTGAAGAGCAAAAACCACATAGCTTTGGAATCTCAAATCCATCTTAAAGTCTTGAGCAATTTCACGAATAAAACACCGAAAGGGAAGCTTGCAGATCAAAAGCTTTGTACTTTATGGTATTTTCGGATCTCACGTGGGGTAACAATTCCAAGGCAATAGCGATGAGGCTTCTTGGATCCACCAGTTGTAGGATCCGATTTTCTTGCAGCCTTGGTGGTGAGTTTCTTCCTACACCGGTGGACTTGCAAGCAGTTTGCTTTGTACAAGCCATCAAGCAAGATCATGAAGAACAAGTGCAGAAAATAAGATAGGACTGAAGATTGGGTTTTGAAACTGAGACAAAACGATTTCAGATCTTGCTAGATGACTTGTATGAATCAAACTGCTCACAAGTCCATTGGTGGGAAGGCTCCTAGGAAGCAACTCATCACCAAGGCTGCAAGAAAATCTGCTTGTACAACCGGTGGAGTCAAGAAGCCTCATCGTTATTGCCTCAGAACTAGTGCCCTGCGTGAGAACTGAAAATATCAGAAGAGTATTAAGCTTTTGGTTAAAGGAACCGAAATAAAAAATCCACAGCCCAAGAGTATGGAACTTTTGGGAGAGTTGGTTCATGACATGGTATCAAAGTTTCTATGATCAGGTCATTTGGAGTTCTACCCTTGCCACCCCCGTTCTTCTATTAAATGCTGGAATTTCATCACAAGATAGGTGGGCCTGTGCATTTGTCTACGCTTCGAGCCCAAAGAGCTCATGTGGGGGTTGTGTTAGAAATATAATATAAAACCATTCATATGCCTTCACTTAATAGCTTAATTTTTTAGGCAAGTTGGTTCATGACACTATACATGTAGGATTTTCTGTTTCACTATAGTCCCTACCTTCAATATATTCATGCACTACAGTGTTATTTATAATTTTTTAAGGCTTGGGTAACACTGTTCATATCTTATCAGGCAAGCATGGAGTCTATGATGAGAAATCGAGAACTAACAGAGACAAGGATGATGCAGGTAAGTAGGTTCTCTGATGCATGTAAGGTTCCTATTATCGTATCATATTTCCCATTTGTATTAAAAAGTTTTTTGCTTCACATAATTGTTGTTCTTGTAGGCTCTAAGAGAGGAGCTAGCATCTGCTGAGCGAAGAGCAGAAGAGGAGCGTGCTGCACATAATGCTACCAAAATGGTCTGTAACTTGAATTATTTATTTCTTATGTTTCTGTGTTTTGCATTAGATTTTTTTGATTCAGTGATTGGCAGAACAGGCTGCTATGGAAAGAGAAGTAGAATTGGAGCATAGAGCAGTCGAGTCATCTACAGCCCTTGCGAGGATACAGGTAATGTAAGCACTTACTGCAGTTCAACTTTTAAATGGTGTGCAAATCCTGTTAAAAGCACTGTGTTTCTGTTTGGCTTTCCCCTCGTGTTGGGCATATGTCATTAGTTTATATCATGAATTGACAACATAATGGTAGATGGTAGATATATTTGCAGGGTATCAAGTTGTTTTTATGGCTATTAATTCTATCCATGAACTTCGAAATCAAGAGCTTGTACAGAAAACTTCTAATCGGATTTTTAAGTATAGTTGGAAATTTATCCTGGAGGAAATTTTTGAAAATAACATTGTTATGTATTTGGATACTAGTATCCAAATCTTACATGATTTTCATTCTGCAATCGCCAGCCCTGCTGTAACTCTTGGGGCTGCAATCTCTTTTGTGCTAGCCCATTTACGTAGAAACCAGGTTGGCTGGATCACTTTCAGACTGCAGTGGGCTGGTCATACCACTCTTTGGCATCCTTTTATAGGAAAAAATAATTGTCCTGGTATGCATAAAAGTTGTGTGTGGATCTTCACTCGTTGGAGCCTCTGATAATACAAAAAGGGTCTTGTATAGTGAATCTTGAGATGATTATAAAATAATACTCATCAACAGAAGTTTTAAAAGCTTTTGATTATATTAAAATGGGAAGAGGGGGGGGGGGGGGGGGGGGGGGGGGGGGGGGGGGGGTTCAGGGATCATCAGCTCATTCAGTGCTGCTACACAAGTGTGACTAACATTCCCTCAAGCTTTTTGTTAAAGTTTGGCATCATATAATCATCATTGATGTCTTTTGGGTCTTGCTATTTTAAATTTTTAACAGGTCATCTGTTTTACAAAATAGTCATGAACCATAGTAACAAATCCCCAAGGATAAATCATGTGTGTTAATAAGGATGCTTTGATTCCTCCTCTCAATCTATTTTAAATTTTTAATTGTAGAATTGTTTTTGACTTCAAGGTTAAACATATACATTGATTTGTTAGTTGCTCTCCTTTTCAGAGAATAGCAGATGAGAGGACAGCGAAGGCCACAGAACTTGAGCAGAAGGTGGCACTTCTCGAGGTATCAGTAAAACAGTTAACATTTTTCTTTTGAATATGAAGGCTGATTAGTGATTACTATTTTGAAATAAAGTTCTGCTGAAAAGTCATTGGTTAAAACTGTCATTAGGTTGAATGTGCATCTTTAAATCAAGAACTGCAAGATATGGAAGCCCGTGTGCGCCGGGAACAAAAAAAGTCACCAGAAGAGGCAAATCAAGTATTTCAGGTACAGACACAGACTACTGAGAAGAAAGTAGGCCATTTTGTAACTTAGTTAGAATATTACGTCACCTTAAGTTTCACATCTTCTGCAAGTTTTATAGTAAGTATAACATATTTAAAGAGTCAGTTTCCTTCTTGATTGATTGCTAAACCAATTCAAAGCACATTTTATATGCTGTATGTATGTAAATAGAGGACATATTTGCTATTTTTTATGCAAATAGTTGAACCGGGGCATGGCTAGCTCCTATAGGTCAAAGGCTTGTTGGGCCTTAGTCACATATCATGTGTGTTTGAACTCTTTTTATGGCAATTATGATATTATTAGTAATAATTAGTCATCTTTATGGAATTTTAACTATGCAAGTCTGATATATTAAGATGCAGGCATGGCAGGAAGAAGTGGAGCGTGCACGTCAGGGTCAGAGAGAAGCTGAAAACAAGCTATCTTCCTTGGAGGCAAATATTTTTGTTCTTATTTTTATTTTTTATTTTTTTAAATTATATCCTAATGAAGTTTATCAGAGATAATAATCTCCTGTCTTGCAGGTCAAGGTGTGCTTCCTATTATTCATTATATGTTTGGTTTCACTGTTTCAGGCTGAATTGCAAAAAATGAGAGTTGAAATGGCTGCAATGAAGAGGGATGCTGAGCATTACTCACGTCAGGTAATAATCCCGGTGTTTCTTTATGAATTTCCTCTCTTGTCAAATATGTTTAAAATTCAAATTCTCAAGTAGGATATAAGAATTAACAAAACCTTTTTTTTTAGTGGGCAGAGCTTAGACTTGATGGTCATAATGCTTCAGTTCTAGTGATATTAAGTTTCAAGTCATGTCCTAATGGGCTGCATCATTTTCTGTAGTTTTAGTGAAATAAGTGATCTTGTTATTAATTTTTCGGGAAAACTACCAGTAAGGTACACTTGATAAAAAAACAATTTCCCGTTAAGGGATAATCAATTAACGACTACTTATTAACCATCATATTAGTGGTTAATTGATAATTGTTTCTGAACTGGAAATATTTTTTACCATTAAATCCTTTTAGTAATTTTTAACCATGCATGAAAGAAAGTTTTTGAACATTGGTTCTTGGCACTTGATATATTAACTTTTAATCGAAGTGTACCTGTGAATTTGAATGGACTCAATTGCAGATATAAAGGTGCATCTTCTTTTTAATGGTATTATAGTGTCATCGAGGGCGAGCCTTGGAACAATGGTTAGGTTGCTCTGTAATCTGAAGGTCATGGGTTTGAGTTTGAGAAACAGCCTTTTTGCAAAATTGCAAGAGTAGGGCTACATAAAATTGACCCTTCCCCCTACCCTCATGCACTGGGATTTTCCCTATTAAAGAGTGTTATCTGATTTTTGTTAGAATGTGTAAGTTCAGTAGCTTAAATTAAAACTTAGTCGTCTAACTCCTTCAGAATATATTTATGGTTGATTATTGGATTCTCTAGATTGTTTAACCAAGCAAAAATAAAGTTGCATCTTCAAGTTTGAAATGGTATCATGATTTATTTGTAAAAGGGTAAGCATCATCATCCATGCATCTTCCCAGTCGTATTCTGTACATTTAATATCAATCAGATGTTACTATTGTTGAATTTTGTATGGAGGTATAGCTGTCTGCAACCAACATGAGAGGAGTGATGATAAGAATTTTAATATACAAATGCTACCAGCCTACCGAGCTTTTCTTGTATGGGTTTTGACATATAATACAGTTGAAATTAAGTTAGTACTTTCTAATGCGTGTATGTTTTGGTGCTGTGGTAATTTTGGAATACTACTTGTTCTAAGCATCATCATATTCTTGTAACAGGAGCATACAGAGTTAGAGAAACGCTATCGGGAACTGACTGACCTTTTGGTAATTTTGTCATGGTTAAATTTCATGCAATTACTTGTGATGTTCAATAAATTTATGCATCATCTTCATTTCAGTACTACAAACAAACACAATTAGAAACCATGGTCAGTGAAAAAGCTGCCGCAGAGTTTCAATTGGAAAAGGAAATTAAGCGTCTTCAAGAAGCACAGGTATATACTTAGGTTCCTGTGGCTGCTTGATTATTATTTTTGACTTCACCATGGATTTGACATCACTGTCATGTTGAACAGGCGGAGGCTGAAAGAAGCAGAGTTTCTCGTCGAGCATCATCATCTTGGGAAGATGAGACTGAAATAAAATCCCTAGAGTATGTTTCCTCTTGTTATTATATTAGCATCTATCTTATGTCTTTTATTGCATTTGATTGAAATGACCATAAACTTCAGCCTCAGTGGTCTTGTGCCCTGCCAGTAGGGAAGGAAGTTCTTGTAAACCCATTAGAATGCATTAATCTTTTGCAGAACTCATTTGCTTAGCCTCCCATGTTAAATCATATGGTGTCATTGTTGTGATCTTTTTATGACAACTCTATGTTAAATCACTCTACTACTCAGTTATGCTCATATATGCTAGTCTTTTACTCTCCAAAAGGTTGAGCCATCTCTGTTTTTCATTTCCAATTGTAGAGTTTGGAAAATGATCCTATAAAATAATAATTGCAGGCCGCTTCCTTTGTATCACCGTCATATGGTTGGTGCAAGTATTCAGGTATAACAGCCATAATGTTTCATGCCCTCTTCATTCTCCTTTTAAGCATTATTTTTTACTTTGTATTTGGCATGCCTCATGCAGTTGCAAAAAGCAGTGAAACTGTTGGATTCAGGGGCTGTGAGGGCCACAAGATTTCTCTGGCGTTATCCAACAGCTCGAGTTATTTTATTTTTCTATTTGGTGAGATCAGTTCGTTAGATGTTTAAAATGTCAAATAGCTGAGATGAATTGCCATGGAAGGTCTTGAATTCTTTGCTAACCGTGAGAAATTGCAACAGGTGTTTGTACATCTCTTCTTGATGTATCTCTTGCATCGGCTTCAGGTAAAGATACTCAGCTGATTGCAATACAGAATATGTGACAATTATTGATACATGCAGTCATGTTAACCCTAGCCCTATGGATTAGCTTATTGCAATCAAATCTTGTTGACTCTGGGTATATCTTTATCTCCAATGTAGGAACAAGCTGACAGTATGGCTGCTAGAGAAGTTGCAGAATCTATGGGACTTTCTAGCCAGAATTTACCGTGAATTATTTAAATATTCCTTTTGGGGCCCTATGTCAGGTGTTATCTTTTCCTGGCCATATATTTTTAAGTGTACATTACCGATGCAGCTGCTTAGGATGGCTTGATAATGGTTCAGCAAATTATTGAAGTATGCAAACCAAAACAGGAACTTACACACAGGTATCTTATGTCTCGGTTTGACCCTAGAGAAACTGCTGCAGGATGGAGTTCGGAATATTGGAATTTGCTTAGCTTAATGATTATTGAACAGGCGGCAGCATCTCTTAGTCATGTTTTCTTTTCTTTTTTCTTTTTTGTTTTTAACATTGAAAATGTATTTCTGGGTGGAAGAAACAAGGCTGTGGATACAAATTTCTTGTGATATATCCTTCTTTTTCTCTCTTATAATGGCAATTGCTAAATCTAAAGGCTATTATACCACACTAGCTTGTACGAGAAATATTTATACTTGCTACAGCGTATTATTTTGAATGCATAAAGAGTTAACCTTGAGAATCTGATTGCGATAATTATTTTGTGCTATATAGGATATTAAAATGGGGACTATCACAACGTGGCAAATATAACAATCTTTGTTTTGTTATATCTCCTATAATAGTCCGTGCCAGATCCGTTCTTCTATTTCATTCTTTCAAATAAAACAATAGAAGGAAACATTGTAATAAAATGGATGGATATATACTACTACTAAAGAAGAATTGAATTGCTTCGCATGTCTTTTCTGTTTTCGCTAAAAGCTCGATCTTTTTTTTTGTTTTTAATGTAAATGAAAAAAGAGAAGAATTAATATCATATTTGATATAAGTTTGCACACAAAAATCAGTTTCTTAATATACTCATACAGTCATACTTCGAATGTCTTTTTATAATTAGTAAAAGGATAATTCATCGACCCAAATAAACAAAAGGATGGTTCATCGGAATTTTGTTTTTTCAAATTAACAAATATTTAGAAATGAAGCAAATCAAGGAGTGTCTTTTTTAACATGAATCGTCTTTAATATCTTATTTTACAATTTTTGATATCTCGCTATTTGCCCCTTTTAAGGCTTTATTCCTCTTCGATGGCCGAATTGGCTAAGCTCCTTGCGTCAGTGTTAGCAGATAATCACCATTCACACCAACATATACAAGGCAATAAAACTAAGGAAAAGAAATCCTCAGCAGTATAATTATTGGGTTAAGATTTTTTTTTTTTTTTTCTTTTGCATGAAATATTACATTACCATAGATTGATGGATATTCAAATTGCTCTTATCCTTTAACAACTACTGTTTCCCTCGAGATATTAAGTAATCCACAAGTACATTGATGGAGCTCAACAGCTCATAGATTTCAGGGCAAGACAATGGGCGTATTAAATCAATTATTTCACCAAGCTACAAAGATATTGTTTTGTCGAATAGCAAGAAGAAACAGCACCAAGCTACAAAGATGTCACTTAATAACATCTTCAAGCCCATTGATTGTTACCAAGCACTATCAATAAGCAAATGTCTAGCACCTACAATACAATACCAGTGGTTTTATCCTCCCATAATCGAAACCAACAAAAATACTCAACTATCTTTTAGTTCACTTTGTTTTCTTCTTCGTTCACTTCATATTCCTCATCATCATCGTCTTCGTCCTCATCCTCATCATCAAGTCTTCTGCTTTGGGAGAGTTTGCTCAGCTCAATTCTACCTTCATCCCCCATGAAGTCAAGCCCAAAGTTTGTGTCTCGATGTTTAACCAGAAGCCAACGTAGCAGCCGGTCTTCCTTGTTTAGATAATGCAGCTCTTTGTTGATGTTGGGTGTAGCCATCATGCTCAGTTGCATCAGTTGCCCCTACATCCATAAAATATAGAAAAAATGGCAACACATTACATTACAACTGCATAATTTCCATTCAAACTTAAAGAAGGATATGTTTGCTTTTCTCTTTCACCAAAGGCACGCTCTCAAACTAAAAAAAGTTAACTAAAATTTCATCAGCAGCATGTGGAAAACAGCACATGTAGTAAACAGTTCACTGTTTGGATTTTTATTTCAAAGTGAATAGGATGTTCCAATTCACTTTTTTGAGCCACGTCCGGTGGAATAGTAATATTCATAATCTTTGTAGCATAAACCAACTTCAATAAAACACCAACTCAAACTAAGAGTTATAAGAAACATTTCTCCAAATTCTTTAACATACCACCAAAGCCATTTTTACATTGAACTATATTACATTAATTTGGTAACTTTTGTAGCATGACTCTGTCCATGACTAATACAACCCACATAACAAAAAACAGTTCAAGCACTATGATTTTGACTTAACAGAAAAGAAAGGAACAATTCACCTAAAATATAGTGGTTTGACCACACATTCACAAGTGCATTTTCATTATAACATGATGAGTAATCAATCTCAATCTCACCTGATAAAATCTGCCATCTAGCTTTTTTATACCATAGCCCAACTGAACTGTTCCAAAACTCTTAAGATCAGTGACAACCCCATTTCTTCTGTAGACATGTTTTCCCACCCTTGCAACTAAATCCATGAGGGATTCCTTCCTTGTATGGGGCTTAAACAGAAGCATGCAATCGTAAAGAGGCATCTTTACTCAATTCACTTAGCTACCTTTCTGCAACATATAACAATTAATCAGTAACGTTAAAAGGAATATTGCTAATATCTTCTTTCAAATATGAATGATCACACTATTGAACAAATGTTAGTTTATTCAGACCAAAATCATATACAAGTTTGAATGGGATAAGTTCTAAAAGTTCAATTTAATCATAAATCACACATCGAATCTTTCAAGGTATCATACTAAACGTTCAGCGATATTAACCAATCTAAGAATATTAAAGAAAGAAGAGGCACTAAAGGAGGTTTTAACCCAATACCTTCTTCTTAGTAAATTCAATTATAGAAGCCCTACCCTTAAAAAATTCTTGTATGCAAATTGGTACTCTAATATGCAAGTCTCCAGTCTTAATCACTCTTAACCACAATTTCATAAAGTGACACATGAGCTTCACTTATATAATCTCCCAAAAACCAAGATCCATATATTTTCTGCTTACTAGTAATTCAACAATTTTACGTTTACATTAAATTATTATTATTTTTTTTTTTTTGAATATTCCAATTGGTTCATCGTTTCGCGACTAGTTCGATTCGGAGCAAGTCCCGAGATTAAGGCTTTAAACTCCTTCCAAATATGCTCTCACCGCGCCAACTGAGCTACCATACAGTCATTTCGTCATTAATTTTTTTTGTTAAACTCAATAATATATATCAAACACTATCGCTCTCTTTACCTAGTACACAACATCATTAAACCATTCAAAAGCCTCAAAACGGTCCAATTCCTCGAGAAAGATTAATAACAAAGAAGTATAATATTATTAACAGAACTGTATGGAATTCTAACCAACACATTAAGATAGAGAAATAAGAATAAATCACATATTTATATAAATATAAGTATGTAAAAAAAAAAAAACATGATAAGAAGAACATACAAATAAAGCATATTCTTTGAATTACCAGATTTGGGATGACGCCCTGAAACATTCAACGATTCCGAAAATGAACGGAAAATGCGTACCTTCACCGGAAAACAGAGCGACGCCGGCGATGAGAAGCATGCATCAACCGCGGCAGTCGAGAAAGACAGAGAATAATTGAATAAGTGCCTTGGCTAGGGTAACAGTACTGAACCACCAAACGACGCAATTTCTCGAATTTTTTTTTTATAAAAAATAAAATATTATGAACCTTTATTAAAAAATACATATCTGTAAGATATTACTGAATATTAATTTAATTGATATATAATTATAAAAAAAAAATTGTATTTGAGATTTAGTTATAATTTATTGGTTTGCTTTTCCGCAATTACGGCAGAGAAGTTATCTGTAATAAATCTAATACGACGTTGTTTTGGAGCGAAAATCATAGTATTTTTATAATTTTAATTTATTTTAGGATTATTATAGTCTTTATAATTATAATTTTTTAATTTTTCAATCACAAAATGATATCATTTTGGAAGTAAATGCGAATAACTTATCTGTGTAGAAATATTTTTAAGTAATTTTATATATAAATAATTTCAATGTTTCAATAAGGTGGAAATCTTATAATATTTATTTATAATGTTTAATAGATTTATAAACAAAATTTATGTGACATAGACTAAATATGCAAACTTATTATAGTTAGAAATTAAATGATATTTATATACAAAAAAGAAAAAGAAATTAAATGATATTTTATCGTGGCACTTTATTTTAACTTGTCACATTTTTTTTTAAAATATTAGTTCTTAAATTACATATTTATAAATATTTAATTTGTCAAAAAATAATATATACTTACAAATATAATATAATATAAATTAATAATAAAATTGACTGAATTCATATTTCACAAAAAAAATTATTAATTAGTGTAAGAGTGAAGACATAAATACATATATTTTTTGAAAAAATATATTTTTACCAATTTAGGAAAAAGAATGGCATTCCTTCCAAATTAATATATATATTTTTTGGATTTGGTGTTTGTCATTTTAAATAACATAAGTTATGTCATTTTAAGAAAGAGATATATACAAAAAAATGGAAATCATGGGAGAGAAAAAATGAGTGATTTTTTTAATTTATAATTTAAATAAAAAAAATTATTTTGTGTCTATCTCTCTTTTAAAATGACATAACTTTATGTTGTTTAAAATGATAAGTATTTTTCCCATTTTTTTTTGTAAAACCATGGGTTTGAATTTTATTTTTTTAAAAAATAATTTTATTTCTCATACACATTGTCATGTGTACGTCTCATATTTTCTTTTTTTTTCTCTTCAGAATAGGTTAATATGTGTTTCATATATTTTTATGTGAGTATAAATTTATCTCCTATAATATGATAAACATTAAATCTTTTATGATATCCAATCTTTTTTATTAATAATTTTAAAAATGTTAATACCATTAAAATTAAAAAATCTAACAAATTTTTTTTAAACATGTTATTTGAAATAAAAATAATTTAATCGTTTATGTAATTTATTTATTTAATTTGTCACTCTCACCGTCTCACGTGACCTTTCAATGTTAAACGAGATGATATACAAGCAACAATTTTTTTTTAAAAAAAACAGTTTCGCCTCCCTGGGAAAGCGTGCTAGTTACGATTTACGAAATCATCGACAAGTGAAAATAATTGTCATAGTGATGTGAGACTGTGTTGCAGTGAAAGCTGCAAATTGCTTTTCTTATTTTTTTACTCTCTCCCTCTCTCACTTTATTTGAAACTAGTTGTTCAGTGTTTTCTCTCTCTCTCTTTCATTCTTCTTCTTCTTCTCGTTGTGTTGGTTATGGCGGAGCAGCAAGTAGCCCTTCCACCTTCCGTTGAGGGTCTGATAGAGAGGATCTGCAAGAAGCAGAACCAACCCTCACCGGACTCCAATGTGAGGCGACAACTGGCCGCGATCGGAGAGCAACAAGCACTTCACATTCTCGATATAATCTCCAAACAAACAATCCGAACCACTCTTAGCTTCTTCATTCTCGGCTTGATCAAACGCTCTTCACTCAATTCCACGCGCCCTAATCAAGGTGAACAAGAACAACCTCTTAAACCTTTCTACTCAGTTAATTAATTGATTGAATATTATAGCATATGCTTTGTCCTACTCTAGCTGTTAAGCTGTTGAGTAGTTAACAGTTTGCGTTGAGTTTGTTACGAATCTGTTGAGAGTCTGTTAGAGTTAGTTTGTTCAGCTAACTTTCTGTTGAGAGTTTGTTACAAATCTGTTGAGAGTCTGTTACAGTTAGTTTAGTCACTGCACGCTCACCAGTGAGCACGGCGTTGGTGGCGTTGGGAGAATTGGAGTTCAGAAAGGCCTTTCTTCTGTTGAATTATATCGGAGAGTAAGATAACAACTGCATCTTGCTTTTTTAATTTTTTTTAATTTTTTTTGTGTGTGTTGTTTTTGTGTGTGTGAGTGGTGCTGTGCTTGAAGCTGTGGTTTTCTTCGCACAATTACAGAGAGAGTCTTGAAAACGTCATCACTGCAGAATATATTAGAAGTCTGAAGGAGTTGCCGATGGTAAGTTTCGAGAGAGAAGTATGGGAAGCTGTGGGGAAAAAGTACAACCGTGAAAGTGATCGACAACGGGTAAACATCATGTCATCATCTTTCTCTCTCTTTTTTTTTTTTTTTTTTTATAGTTTGAGTGGTTTCAATTATCTTCGTTAATGCTATTCGGCTACAGCTAGGATGTGTATGGATTGAACCGAACCGAATTTTTTGAAAAACTGAACCTAATTGGTTTAAATGGTTCGGTTTAAAACTGGTTCGGTTCGGAAGTTGTTCAGTTTGGTTGGAAACGGTTCGGTTCGAAACCGGTTCGGGTCGATCCTATTTCGAAAAGAAAATTAAAAATTTGAAAAATAAATTTATGAAAATCAATTTGGTTTGGTTTGAAAACGGTTTAGTTCGGTTCGGTTCGAAAACAATTCGGAAACGGTTCGGTTCAAAATGGTTCGGTTCTTAAACTGGTTCTAAAAATCGGTTCGGTTCATGAACTGCTTCTTTAAAAACCAGTTCGGTTCATGAACTGGTTCTTTAAAAACCGGTTCAGTTCATGAACTGGTTTTTAAAAACCGGTTATTTTAGGAGCGGTTCGGTTCATGGTTCGGTTCAGTTTTTTTGGTTATTTTGCACACCCTAACTGCAGCCTCACTGTGATCGAAAGATAGATCATGAACCAACACACAAATAAAAGCAAACAGGGTGATGAGCAATCGAATTGTTTTTGGGTTTGATGTTTCTTTGTGTTTTAGGAGATAAAATTATCTTCTAAAGAATAGTACAAGAGGCGATAAACTATGTAACTTAAATCTAACTAAGTCAGTAACTAAATGAAGATGTAATCCACTGTGACGTATATACAATACTCCCACAGTAAAATATACACCCACAGTAAAACAGTAAAATATACTGAGGTAAAAAGGGACTATTTCATGCAGCTTTAAATATCTTGTGTCATTAATTATTGCTTGCTTACTAATATTAACTTAGGTTTCTTCAGTATCTCCAATGGGATTCTGGCATGGCACATACATATCAGTGCTATATTTCTCCTGATGGGAAATTAAGGTTCAAGGTTTGTATGTTTCTCTCTTCCTTTGGATTTTTGTACTCTGAATTTTTTATCTTTGTGATTGTGACTATCTCACTGTCCAATAGCTTGGATGCTATGAAGTCTCCAATTTGTATAGCATTAATGCATTAGAATTATGTTACGGAATCAATAAAGTGTGATCAGATTGTTGTATGGTCATTATTTTATTACATTTTTCGGATTTGAATGTATGACAAATATGGCTTATTTCATTGCCTCTTTGTTTGAATTATAATACAGGGCCCTATTTTACAAAGCACACGAACTCACCTGCAAAAATCTCTTGGTGATGATAATGTTTTGGTTGTTAAATTTGCTGAGGAGGGGAGTGTGAGGAATTTAAGGACCACTGCTCAAGAAGCTTATGCTCTCTACGGGAAGTTTGGAAAAGAAGGGATTCGTGTTGGTCTTCGTTTGTATCGCTATTTTGGTAATATTATTCCTTAATTGTCTTACTTTTTTTTTTTTTTTTCCTTTTTAAGATTTCTACAATCCTGAAGCCAGTGTATTTTTTATTCAATTAAGATGTAAAAGTCTGGGAAATTTGCAGTTTCATTTTTTCTGTGCTACATATGATGTAGGCTACAAGTTTACAACCTGATGATGTGCTTTTATATCTGTTTTTCTCCCATGTTTTGTAAATCATTCTACTATTCCGATTTATTTGTAGTCTTACAGTTACACTATAATATTATTATATTTTACGTATATCAAATTTCTGAAATTTCCCTTGCTCAATAATATTCTTTTATGTATGTCAGACTTATAATTGCCTTGAAGTGTGTGATTAACAAACAAATGTGTTTCTTTGCTTCTTATTATCCATGTGTTTATATTGTCCTGTGCAGCAGTTAATAAATGGCAATATGTGGATTTGGTATGTTGGTCCTTGCATTTTTTTTTTCCTAGATCCTATATTTGTTTCTTATTATATGTTTATGATTTGGTGGTTGCCCGCCCCTCATGCACAAAGCCAAGGTTTTTACTTGTGGTGGTAGAAGTGCTTGCGTTGTGGCATTGTAGGCTAATGCAGCCGTTGCGGTCCACAATTGCTGGAAGTTGCAGTTGCGGTAACCACCATAATTGAGATGTTGTGGCCACATCAGGTGATGCTGACCGACATTTGAAAACTTGCACAATGCTTTGTTTTTTGGGTATAATGGAGGTGCAACTGCAAACACTTGAGTAGAGGTGGGGCAATAGGTAGCCTCGTGTAGGACATTATACCACAGTCCTAGAGACTGAGGTCAATGGGTTTCGAGCTCAGTGACTGCAGAAAGCATTCTTAAATCATTGCACTTGTCATATGTCTGATGCTGTCTCTTGTGTTGTTTGTGAAACCTCTAGTGATTGACATACATGTTTCTAAATTTTTTACCAATTGAACAGTTTTTAAAGATAGTGGAAAGGAAGAGAAGAAGAAGGACCCAACATCTTCCTCTGTGAAATGTTATTTTGTTAGGATGGAATCTTGCAACTCTGCAGACGAGAGGGCATTTTACATTTTGTCAAATAAGACAATGTATGCAGCTAGATCTATATTCATGCATGCTCACACGTTACCCAATGTGGACAAGTTTATGGCTAGGTATTATACATATGCAAATACTGTCTTTTAGAGTTCCATCTTTTTACTCTTCCTCCACCTAATCAAAATAGATTTGATCCAAGGTACTAACCTCATAGATATTCAGGTTCTCTCTCATTCTTTCAAAGACTTTAAAACTCAACATTGACTTGGCAACTGTGAATGTCCAAAAAATACAAGATATATATTGCCGGGTATAGCCATTTTTTTTGTCACCTTAAAGGGTTTTATAATTTATGGTCATGCTTGTACCAAATTATTTTGTTTTGTTTCGTTTGTTTTCTTGTTGTGAGTTTAGGATGAAAATGGCAATATTATGTATAAAAATGAGCAACCACGTATTCACACGGATGGAACTGGGTTCATCTCAGAAGACTTAGCGATGCTCTGCCCTAACAATGTGTCAAGTGGAAGGAACTTAAAGAATAAATACATTAAGGTCTCTTTTTTCTTTTCAACCTGTTATTGTACTATAATTTTTCTTTTCAATTAACTTCGTTTGTTTATCAATCAGTGGTCATGTGCTAAGAATCCAACTTACGGAATAAACTTATTTTGAATCAACTATTTTTTTTTTTTATCATCATTGGCTATTTAACTTCATCCATCATAACTATTCATCTGGTGGTCCTTTTCTTTTTCTAACAAATAATTTTCTTGATTCATGCATCAATACTAATTTTTTGGAGGGATAAAGCTTGAGTTTTACCTTTTATAGTTTATACGCTTTCCATTTATGCTTTCTTCTTTTCCCAGTGATTCTAATGTGAGACAAAGGATATGGATGGAAAATTGTAGATAAATGTTGATAACCATGTGCTCGTATAAAATTTGTAGAGTCCGAAGTTGAGGATTGGAAGAGAAAAGTTTTCGTTTTATGTTCCTTTGTGTTGGCGTGTGATTGCTCATAATCAACTCTTCTATAAGAGTAAAATTTCTTCCAATGGAAGAAAGTAACAGGAGAAAAGAAAAGTGAGAGAATGTATCAAAATGTTTCAATTATAAAACCCTTTGGATAATTTTTGCCAATTAATAAACAACTTTATTTTTTCTTCATTGCCTGAATTTTCTCATATTCTGCTTTTGCCTTTGTTATTGCTACATTTCTCTCAATATCTTAAATTCTAACTCTTGTGTGCTCATATGTATTCCAAATTGTTTTATGATCTAGTCCCTTCTTTCTTTGATTATTCTGTGCTTTTCTACTGCCTTTGAACTTAGGAAATTTCCAATCCGGTTGAACTTGAGGATACGAGTAAGGCAATGGGAGCAGCAGAGCTGAGCACACATCAGCCGGTAGATGCTTTGTTTTTCTTCTACCAATTTTCATATTGCAGTGACATGTTTTGTGTGTGTGTGTGTAATATGCATGGATATTGTTCTAGTATTACTAATCCTTTTTCCTCCTACCATCAAGCCTTTGCTGATTCAGTGCCGTATCTTTCACATGGGTAGTGCAATTAAGGGAACTCTTTTGGTTAACAGAAAGGTATATTTTTGACAGACTCGTGTGGTCTAAAAAATTGATTGTCTTCAGTATATTTTGCGATGTACATTATAGAACACCTTGTTTGTTTAAGTTTTTTTTAAGTGCTTTTTAAAATTTTCGTGGTTGATATGTTAATAGTAATTGTGTATATCATCAATGTTTTGTACTTTCTGGTCTTTCAATCATTGTTGTTAAAACGTTGTTCCAACAAGTAGAAACGTCTGTTTCTACCTTTTTTGGTCAAAAAAGGTTCTCAAACTAAGGTAGAAACGGAATTTGGGTTGAAATGCCGAGTTAATTCGGTTGACTCGACGAGTTTCGAGTTGACTCAGTATTGAAAACAAAATGGAGGGTAACCATTGCAAAGGTGATCTGAAGGGTCAGATCTGATGAGGCGGGGAGAGAGAAAAGCGAAGGCGATGAAGAAGGAGAAGAAGAGCTTCATCGCCAATACCTTCGCCATTGTTGGTTGTTACTCCAAGCCAAACCAAAACGCTAAGAGAAGAAGGGTCAAAGAAAGAGTAATGCTGAAGCAGTAACCTATTGGCTAAACAGAAAGAAGAACGAACACAAGGATTGCGAGAAAATACTATTCCTTTTTTCTTAATTTTATTTAACCAAAAACAACTGAATTACAATAGGGTTCTCCAAGTCTTAAATAATCATGTGCAGTCAAATGAGATAACGCACAATCAAACATAATCTAAAATAACAAAAAGGAAATAACTAGCAATTATTAAAAATCATTAAATAAAGAAATAAATTATGGAAAAGTCCAATCCAAGCGAGTCAGCTTGGGTGCATCAAAGAGAGAGAGAGAGAAGAGCGACGAAGAAGAAAGTAATGTTAAGTGTTAATAAAACGGAACAAAGAAGAAGATTGTGAGTGAAGTGATATAAACTCACCGCCACACTCTAATGTTTGATGTTTCACCTAAAGCTATTCCCTCCCTCTCTTTTTTTTATATTATTTATCATTTTGATAAATCAATGCTTTAACTGTTTATTAGCTTGTTGCACTATATAAAGATAAAGTAGATCTACTGGTAAGAAATTATGAGTTTAATGGTTGATCTCGAATTCAAATTTTCTTGTTAGAAAATTTTTTGTCGCTAATGTAATTTTATCGAAGATAAAATAGATCTACTGGTAAGAAATTATGAATTTAATGGTTGATCCCGAATTCAAATTTTCTTGTTAGAAAATTTTTTGTCGCTAATGTAATTTTATCTGGTTTTAATCAAACTAGTGAAGTAATTAATAAATCTATGAATAATATAAAAATATATGTAATATGATTTTTTGTGCATAGTTCAAAAATATAATATAATATAATATAATATATATATATATATATATATATATATATATATATATATATATATATATATGAGGGAGAATATTTTGACTACCAAAAGTGTCCACTACCACCTTACTACCTATCAAATCACCATTGGATCAAAGAGAGAGAATGTTAAAAAGTTTTTGAAGAGAGAGAAAATGTTAATCCAATGATGATTAGATAGGTAGTAAGGTGGTAGTGAAAACTTTTGGTAGTCAAAATATCCTCCCTGTATATATATATATATATATATATATATATATACGAAAAATCCAAAATCCAGTCACTGGACTGTTCAGTGAGTGAATTTTGACTATATTCTCCCGCGAGAATATAGTGCAAAAACATTACAATGGTGTTCTGCAGGTATTCTCCCGGGAGAACATAGGAAAAATTTTTTATGCACTATATTCTCGCGGGAGAATATAGTGCACTGGACCTAATTTACATCAAGTCACTTGATACTCACTAAACCCATATATATATATATATATATATATATATGAACATGAACATGTAATGATAAATTTTTTTATATATATTCTTAGTCATTAATCTACTTAAATTTAATAACTCATATAATTAATACATTAAAATCATTCTATATAAATTAAAACAACGATTAAAATTGACATTCTTATAAAATAAACATGTTGGTGTGTTTTGTTTTTATATATGTTGAATATATTTTTTTTTACGTAGTAAACTCTTACATTACATTTAGGTTTTACGATTTTACGTTTCTGCTCACCCCTACCATTTTTGGATAGACTCTACGTTTTAACAACATTGCTTTCAATGCTTTCATCCCAATGATTTCCGCAGGTGTACACTGGTTCTCACTGATTAATTGGAACTTGGAGTTTTGCATGACAAAATGGATAAGATAGACAACACGTTTAAGAAATATTCTTAGCAATATAATTTGGTGGACACAGAGGGCATTATATGAAATATTTCATTGAAGTTTTGTGCATATTGGTCTTATAGCTGTCCAATAGAATTTTCCTCTAAGTTTGAGAGGTAGCTTGCTGTCACAAGTATTGCCTACAACATTTGTCCATCTTGAGAGTTAATAATTGGGCAAATTCACCATTTTGTTTTTCACTTTTTTTAAGCTTGTGGTTCTTTTATTTATTTTCTTACTTATCCATACTGCTTGTGATTCTGATTTTGTATTTTTGAATCTTGCAGCTTCCTCCGAGGACAATACAGGTCCGGCCTTCAATGATTAAGGTTGAGACAGACTCAAGCCTTCAGAATATTCAAAGCATAAATTCAATGGAGGTAGTAGCGACAAGGTATTTCACTTTTACATTTCAACAGGGCTGATATTGTGAACTCATGCTGCTAATATGTTGCTTGGGCTTGTTCCAATAAATTGATCATACTTGTTGACATGATGAATTCTATATATGTCTATTATTGAATATTGAAGGGTGCAGACATACCAAACGAGTTTATCTATTTTTATTTTACACTTCATAATATCTGTATGTGAACCTTATATTTTCGATGATTTTAAAAGCTTAATCTGATAGGATATGTGTCCACTTACGTAATATTGCTGACATGATAACAAATCTGCCTTCCACAAATGGTATGCTTTATCAGGATGCATCACATTAGCTCTGGACTAGACCAACGGGCACATACAGTTGCTTTGACACCTTCATATTTGGGTTTCACCGTGCAGGGATGAATTGCTTGTGCCCATTGGTCTGGTGCACAACTGACATGGTGTACCCTGTCGAAGCAAGAACTGAAGAGTAAAATGTTTGGAAGGCACTTATATTCATATGTCTCATCTGGAGGAAAATTTATGGTTCTTGTGATGTATTCATTTCTTCTATTCATATAATTTATTATGGATAATCATATGCTGATTCTATCTTGCCTAACCAACTTGCCTAATGTTTGAAGCTGTTAGGAGCTGGACCTATCCTTTTGTATTCATGAGTAGCAACTTTTTTTTTGTATCTTTTGAAAAGCAATCTGATATGAAGCCTGCATGTTTCAGCAACAAGTCAAATAGAACATTTTTATCTAAGAATCTGATTGCACTTCTAAGCTATGGAGGAGTGCCAAATGAATACTTCACGGACGTGCTTAGGAGTAATTTGGAAGATACAGAACATGTTTTCTCGAACAAGCGTGTTGCACTCAAAGGTAGTTTCTCATACATATCTAAGCGTGTTCTACTACCTAAAATATGTGGGAATCGGGAATCCCCCTCAGTATTTTTCAATTGTTGGTTAACTTGCAGCTTCTGTCAACCATGGTGAGATGGATGAATACAATGCAGCAGGAATGATTTTATGTGGAATTCCTCTTGATGAGCCATTTTTGCTGTATCATCTGTCTATACTTGCAAAGGAGGAAAAGAAGAGGCTTAGAGGAGGGAGGCTTTATGTACCTGAATGTTTTTATTTAATGGGGACTGTTGATCCCACCGGATGCCTAGAAAAGAATGAAGTTTGTATAATTCTGTAAGCATGAATCTCCTAATTTTCCTGATCAATTAATCTTTTATAAAAAAATTAAAAATTAAAAATATTCATGTTAGATGTGTTTTATCTACAAGCAGAATATCTGATGACAAGTATCTCCCACATAAGTTGCTACAGCTGTATTGTTTTTTTTCATCTTCACCCTTAAAATGGAGTGCATTGTTTAATCTCTGAATGGAATGGTATATTGATTTTTATTAAACTTAAGGGTTTAAAAATAATAAGCTTTTGCCATTTGTGTTGGCAATTTGTTTACTTTTGCAATGCTTGTCGTGTATATTCAACAAAAATATCATAAACGCTTTCATTCTTCAGTAGTTATGATTTGATTATAGTATGTCTCTTGATAAGATTAGTGTTGTTCTTCGAGAATTTGTATAATCGGTGTAATTTTTATTATTGTTTTATCTAAGACATGTTAGCTATCTGCTATGGATTCTTACTATATATCATCATATGTTCTTTTCCGTTAGGAAGTTGAATTTTTGTATCTGTCGTGTCTACCTTTTTAATTGTGTTGTTATGATGTTAATGCCAAATATAGAAGTCTACCTTTAGCCTAGGAGAGAGGGTGGGCGTAATCACTCATCTTAATGGTATTCAATATTGATAAGCAAAGACAAAATGCTATGATCATAGGTTCATAGTTGACGCACCAGTGGGTTTTTGTTATGCGAATTATGTTTGCAACATAATCATGTTTGTGCTGATTGTTTCATTCCTTTGTAGTGAAAATGGGCAAATTACCGGGGATGTGCTGGTTTATCGAAATCCCGGTTTACATTTTGGGGACGTTCACATACTGCACGCCAGATATGTGGAGGAATTAGAATCTTTTGTTGGCCATAGCAAATATGCAATTTTTTTCCCATGTGTTGGACCTCGCTCTGTGGCAGATGAGATAAGTGGAGGTGATTTTGATGGTGACTTGTACTGGGTTTCAAAAAATCCTCAGGTTTCAATTTCCCTTCAGAAGCCTTCTGTATTTTCTTGCTAGTTCTATTCGTATTGAAGTAATTGTATTTTTTCAGTGTTTTAGTTTTTAATTAAATGTTAACTGTTGCACTTTCCATTTTTCTTTTTAGTTTGTAATTCAACACAATTGTTTGTATGGCTTATAATAAAATTTGAACAGCTGGGGCTTTTTGCTTGTTACGTCAATTTTCATTTGTCATTTAGTTAATAAATATTGCTTCAGACTAGATTGGTGCTCGATTGGATCATTCCTAGTAATATTGTACTCTACAATCTTGATAGCAGTATTTTTTTATGCACTGCTCTTTGCTCATTATGCTACTGTAAGTAACAGTTGTGGGGCAAAACGACACAGATTGGCTTCTGATACTGAAACAGTTAAAAACATGCCATGAGCAGATTGTAGTTAGTTAAAGAGGGAACCGTAGAGTAGTTACTTCCTGAGGCAATTCTTAGTTTTGAATTAGATTTTTTACCTTAATTTTTTTGTATTTTTTAAACTGGAAGATGAGAATATTTGTAGAGTTCTATAGCTCATATTAAAGATGTGTTACAGAAATCAAATCACATGCATATGATAAGCGCCTCTTATATTACTTGATGAGCTATATCATTCCAAAAGCTTAGGTTGCTGAGTGAAAGAACATGAATAGTTTTATATCTAACACGTCTCTTCATGTAAAAAACACTTGGGCTTAAAGCACAAGCAATGTACAGCCCAACCTTATCTTGCGCTAAATTTTAGCTTTTGTTTAGAAAAAATGGGGACAGTTAAATGTAAAAGAATACGTTGTGTATTGATCTGTGTCAGGGAGTTACAATATATAGAGACCCTAATGGGCTTAAGTGTAAGGCCCAAACCTAATCCTAATACAGTCAGAATACAGTCAGACTATTTACGGATAAGACAGAATCCAATCATATCTAATCATATCTAATCATATCATATCTAATATTCTAACACTCCCCCTCAAGCTGGTGCGTATATATTATGAGCACCAAGCTTGTTACAAATGTATTCAACCTGAGGACCTCTAAGAGCTTTAGTGAAAACATCTACTAGTTGATTAGACGAGTTGACAAAAGCTGTCTTGATTTCTCCTGACTGAATCTTTTCCCGAATGAAGTGACAATCAATCTCTATATGTTTGGTCCTCTCATGAAAAACAGGATTAGAGGATATATGTAGCGCAGCTTGATTATCACAGATGAGTGTCATGGGTTGTTTCTGTTCACAAAGATGAAGCTCCTGAATCAACTGTTTTAACCAGATCAACTCACAGGTAGTATTTGCCATTGCACGATACTCAGCTTCTGCACTAGATCGGGAAACAACAGGTTGTTTCTTGCTTTTCCATGAGATTAAGTTTCCTCCGAAGAAGACACAATAACCAGAAGTAGAGCGTCTGTCCGAGGGTGATCCTGCCTAATCGGCATCTGAGTAACCACAAATTTCTGTATTTCCCTGATCCGAATACCACAAACCTTTTCCTGGTGCTCCTTTGATGTATCGGAGGATCCTCACAGCAGCATCCCAATGTGAATCACAAGGGGAATCAAGGAACTGACTAGCCGTACTGACAGCGAAAGAAATATCTGGCCTAGTCACAGTAAGATAATTGAGCTTCCCAATCAGCCTTCGATAACGTCCAGGATCAGATAACGGCTCCCCTTGTCTGGGCAATAACTTAACATTAGGATCCATGGGTGTATCAACTGGTTTACACCCCAACATACCAGTCTCTTCTAGGATATCCAAGGCATACTTCCTTTGACAGATAGAAATGCCCTGTCTAGATTGCGCCACCTCAATTCCCAAGAAGTAACGTAGCTTCCCAAGGTCCTTTGTTTGAAATGCACTGAATAAATGTTGTTTTAACTGACGGATTCCGTCTTGATCACTTCCGGTGATGATGATGTCATCAACATAGACTAACAAATAGATGCACTTGTTAGGAGATGTAATCCTATAGAATACAGAATGGTCAACTTTACTGCGAATTAGGCCAAACGCCTGTACAACAGAACTAAAGCGACTGAACCATGCTCGAGGAGACTGCTTGAGACCATATAAGGATTTTCGAAGACGACATACCTTCCCAGACTCCCCCTGAGCAACAAAACCAGGTGGTTGCTCCATGTAAACTTCTTCTTGTAAATCACCATGAAGAAAGGCATTTTTGATGTCAAGTTGAAGGAGTGGCCAGTGACGAACAGCAGCAAGGGCAAGAAATAGGCGGACGGACGCCATCTTAACGACTGGAGATAATGTATCGCTATAATCAAGACCAAATATTTGAGTAAAACCCTTGGCAACTAGGCGTGCCTTGAGACGATCAACATGGCCATCAGGTCCAACTTTCACAGTAAACACCCAGCGACAACCAACTAGAGACTTCTCTGGAGGAGCAGAAACAAGGTCCAAGTGCCATTGGTATGAAGTGCGGTCATCTCATCAAGCATCGCTTGGCGCCATCCTGGATGGCAAAGTGCTTCACCTGTGGTCTTAGGAATAGAAACAGAAGAAAGACTAGAAACAAAGGTGAAATGAGGAGGAGAAAGACGATCATAGCTCAAGAAGGTATAAAGAGGATAAGGGTTACGAGTAGTACGTGTACCTTTTCTTTGAGCAATGGGAAGAGCCTCTGGTGAAGGATCCGGAGGAGAAGAATCAACTGCAGGGGGCAATGAGTCAGCAGGGGTCGAGTCGACTGGAGGTACTATGTTACGACGCTGATAAGTGAGAAGTGGACGGTTCTCAGGTACTGGAGCAATAGGTGATTGCTTATCTGGAGTAGAAGCACCTGCATCTGGCAAAGACAAGTCAAGAAAAGGAACAGGAAGAACATGATCAACCTGTGACAATGGAGATGGGATAGAATTAAAGGGTTGTTGATCAAGAAATGTGACATCAGCGGAAACTAAGTAACGCTTGAGATCAGGAGAGTAACAGCGATAACCCTTTTGAAGACGAGAATAACCCAGAAAAATGCATTTAAAGGCTTTGGATGTTAACTTATCCTTACCAGAAGTGAGATCATGAACAAAACAGGTACAACCAAAAACATGTGGGGATAGAGGAAAGAGAGGAACATCCGGAAACAATAACTTATGAGGAATATCATTATTAAGCACAGATGAAGGCATGCGGTTGATGAGAAAGCAAGAAGCAAGGACTGCATCAGCCCAGAAGTGAAGAGGAACATGCATGTGAATAAGAAGAGTCCTGGCAATCTCAATGAGATGTCTATTCTTACGTTCAGCTACTCCATTTTGTTGTGGAGTGTGAGGACAAGTGGTTTGGTGTAAAGTACCCTGTGTGGCTAGGAAATGAGAAAAGTCAACAGAAACATATTCCTTAGCATTATCACTACGTAAAATACGAATAGAAGCACCAAATTGAGTATGAATTTCAGCAGAAAACCTTTGATAAATAGAAAACAACTCAGAACGGTTTTTCATTAAATAAATCCAAGTACAACGGGAGAAATCATCAATAAAGGTAACAAAATACCGAAACCCTAAAACAGACACACTTCGACTAGGACCCCAAACATCTGAATGAATAATTGAAAAAGGAGCATCAACTCGCTTATTGACACGATTAGCAAAGGAGGAGCGGATGTGCTTTCCTTGCTGACATGACTGACAATCTAAAGTTTGAAGACCGGATAAAAGAGGAACCATCTTCTGCAATTTCGCAAGACTAGGATGCCCAAGACGACTGTGGATGAGTTGTGGAGATTCTGTGAGAGAACAAGCAACTGAAGGACTCGGCACATCAAGGTAGAACAGACCCCGTGACTCACGGCCCACTCCAATCATTTTCCCTGTACCCGGGTCCTGCACAGAAACAGATTGGTTTGAGAATGTGACAATACAATTAAGAGAATTGATCAATTTACTAACAGATATTAAGTTATAAGGGATGTGAGGAATGTAATAGACAGATGTCAAGGTCAATGAGGAGGTTGGACAGATTTGTCCAATCCCATGAACGGGGGCCTTAGTTCCATCAGCAAGAGTAAAAGAGGGTAAATTTTCAGAATATGTAAGGGAAGAAAAGAGTTCCTTATTACCACAGAGGTGATCAGTAGCACCTGAGTCAAATATCCAAGGACCAAGTGATGCAGAATGAGAAACACAAGCAACAGGATTACCAGTTTCTGAAGCGGAGGCCTGAGATTGAGGAGAGGACTTCCTGAGAAGGGCCTGGAATGCTACATATTCTTCAGAGGAGAGAGAGACTGTACCATTTGAAGCAGTATCCGATTGAGCTATATTAGCAACAAAAGAAGGTCGCATGTGAGGATACTTTGTGTAGCAGCGTTCCTCATAATGACCAAGTTGCTGACAGTAATGACAACGAGGTCGCTGACCACGTCCGACTGGACCTCCTGGGCCTCTACCACGGCCTTCTGGGCCTCTACCACGACCACGTCCACCTCCAATATTCCCGCGAAAATCAGTACGGGAAACTAGAGCAGTAGAATCAACAGCAGAAGACGATGCAGGAGCAGATTTCTTATTCAAATTCAGAAGACGCTGATACGTCATGGATAGATCAGGCTCCCCACTAGCCAAGATAGTATCACGAACATTATCATATTCTTCGGGAAGGCCAGAAAGTGTGGCAACCATAAAGAGACGTTCCACCTGTTTCCGATATGCAGTAGCATCAGTAGGGTAAGGCAACATATCCAAATATGCCTGCATCAAAGAGCGACTCCTGCCAATATATGTCTCCATCTGAATGTCAGATGATTTGCTCAATTCCATAAACTGGGAGATGATGAAGTAGAGTTGCTGAACATCATTAGTGTAGAGGTTTTTTGCTTCCTCCCATACTTCAGTACAAGTTTGAAAGGAATAAAAGATATTCAAGACGATCGGATCAATGGATTGCCAGAGGATACTCAGAAGCTGGTTGTCAATCTTTTCCCAATCAGACTTGTCCTCCTTAGGGACATCAGTAGACTT